GTTCAAGTCTCTCACCTGTCTCCCCTCGAGTTCCTGAGTTTTCATTTATTTCATTTAAATTGGTCGTAATGTAGATACTGCCTAGCCTGAGTGAACTCTGGATTCAGTCCCTTTTTCATACGTCTGGGATAATTAAGGCTTCATGAGCCCTTAACGCTCAGATTTTGGGGATCCTTTCCAAGTGATGGAATATGAATTGCTCGAGAATCAATGAATTGTTGGAGAAATATTCCTAGAAAGGCCCTAATCCTTCAGAAAATCTAGTTAGTTGAAGCGAACACTTCATAATTTTTCATAAACTTTTTTGAAGAATGTTCTCACTTTGTAGATACAAAATTTTGAAAAAATCAAGTCCAGAGGCAATATATGCGCGGAAGGAGTCTCTGAGTGGGAAAGCCATACATTATGAAAGAAGTGGTCCGAATGGCTCAGAAGTCGATCTCTCGTGCTTAAGGGATGAAAGGTGAACTAGTAGCGAAGTAGTAAGGGATCATACAGATTGCAGTATACCCCTTATTTTCACAATATTTACAAAATTTAGCTTCACGTGGCCGTGGATAGTGGAAACTTCACTATAAAATAAGGTAGAACCGGCAATGGAATCGGGGAAAGAAGGTTACATGCTGAAGTTTCGGCAATGAAAAGTTAACACCTCAACACTAACCTCATTAACTTTGATACCTCTTCGAATCGAAGCAGAACGGAGGTGACAAATTACTGATTCCTCCCCCTCTCTATCTACCTGTCTAATTTACTCACATCCAAGTCGTTCTAATCACTAATCACTGTCTTCGGAACTACGAAATAGACCTTCTCCAGTATGCCGACCGAACATTTTTCAATGAAGTGTTAATGGGACACCACTTTACCCAAACTGTTTGCCCACTCCCTCCCAACTCTAATCTGATGGGACCATCTAAATCGCTCAGCGATCTCAGCGTCACCCTGGGCATTGTTGAAGCATGATTGCGGGGAGCCATGGAGTACTAATGATGTACGACTGGAGTGGTGCGGAATAATAGAGAGGCAGGCGTGCCCCAAGAGTCGGAAATCAAATGTGAGGAGTCACGACGAGGAAGGCACCGTTTGCGAAGCACGGCCTCGAACGGGTCTCAAAACCATCTAGGGGAGGCCGATGTCACCGGCCGACCACGCCCATCATCATCTGCCATCATAAAGTTCGACTTCATGGGCCAAAAGAAAAGTAATTGATTCCTCGCAATGTCGCAATGTTGGTGGCTATTATTGGATTATTCCAACTAGTACTGGACTCACGACGGACTTCATTCACTTCTACGATGAATAATCGAGTATGAGAGATGAGAATAGGGCGACTGAGTCTCTGCTGTCAAGGTGGAGTGACGAGCTATAGCATTTTTTGGGCTGGAAGTTTATCCTTAGATGGCTCAGCTCCTACTAAAGGTAGAGCAGGAGCGAATACTAGTTTCTACTAGAATCAGCAAGATGCCCAGAAAAGTGTGAAGTGACAAAAGCAAGCCCAGACCAAAAATAAGTGGCTGGGTATGAGGCAATCATGGATCATGTTGCATACCATATGGAAAGAAACTTTGATTTGCCTCATGAACAAGGTGAACCTAGATGTTAGGCTAATCATCCCCGTCTGTACGAGCCGATCTCCATTGGATTTTTTATAATGGACATACAATTTACATCCCAATCAAGGTTGAAGAAAAGAATGACAGTATCGCTCGCGGTTGCATAGCCAGCGTGAAACTAGCTGTTGTAGGAAGAAGGTTTGTGTAGCAACAGCAACAATTTTTCTCCCGTATGACCCTTGCAGCTTTGGAGAGCATCCACGATTGTGAGGAAAGACCGCCACTTCAGCTTGCATCTGCTATGAGTAGGACTTCAGCTTTAGCGAAACCCAGAGGCTACGAAGAGAATTCAGAAACATTTGTACATGAGTCTTAGGACGCCCCTAAAATGTATTCGAGAACCAAATAGGGAGAAAGGGAGGGGTTCTGTTTGTTCGGTCTCACTTTTAATGGGCCGAACACTGAGTTTTTACTATGAAAAGAAGTGCATTCAGAGGTTTGTATAAAAGGTTACCTTCAGTGAACAAAGCTGTGTCAAAATGAGATAGTGGGCTACGGCATCGATACAAAGTTTAAGTTTACTACTGGCAGATACCCACATAGTCTACATTCATGTCCCTTTCCTGGAAACTTCCTAGAGAGTATTTTTCAAGGAGTTATACATTCTATTGCGATGATCACGTTGTTATCCATATTAGGAAACCGAGCAGGACATGGAACGCTCCTTGTCCTCTCCCTCTCTCACTCTCGCTCTCGCTCTCTCTTCCTCTGTCTCTGTCTTCCTCAGAAGACTCAGAACCTTGCACCCCAGTACTCAAGATCCTCCTTTCAAGCCGGACTTCATAAAAGCGCATTGGACAAACACTATATGGATTTTACTAGCCTCCTGCCCACCTTATAAGGCTCGTGGACCTGACTTTGGAATAGGCAGAGTGCGCATTCAAGTTGTTACTATTACTACTATTACATTACTCAGACAATCAATCCGAAATGCCATATTTTAACCTCCTGCGTTGTCTGAACCGCTTCTCTTCCTAGTGTGCTCCTCTCTTGTGCATTTCCTTTAGGGATGTAGCTAAAAATAGGTTATCAGTAACAAGCAAAAACTACCAAAAAGGAAGCATTGTGCCTCTGAGAGAAGGAAAAACTGAGGCAATCAACTGAAAGCGACCTTCGTCAGGCATACATAGACAGTGTCAGTGTCAGACTTATGACCAATCTCACAAAGTTGGCGAGTTATGAGCAAAACTTCGGTCTTAGTCAAGACTCAACCCCGTACTAGTCCTTTCTAACCATCGCACACTCTATTCGCTACCCTACCGAAGTTTCACTTGCTCCCAAAAGCATGCCTTGGTCTGTGTCGTTGCAAAGAAAGGCGAAATGCATTCTATCACACGTCTGGCAAACCTACAAATCTCGTGGCAAATCCAATCTTCCATACATCGTCATAAAATCTCCAGAAAAGCCCAAGGATAGATAGATAGCGTTGACTTGACCATCTTCGTTCTTCCACTTCAATTTCACAACCGATAGCACTGTTTTCATATAAAGAAAAACACCAGAGAATAATGCCTGCATTTTTTTCGGAAAAACAGTTGACCAGATTGGCTCCTTTTTACAGTACTTCTGTACATAGTCCTTCTGTCCTCAGACCACCAGACATTCCATAATACTTTCTGACTCTTTCGCTCGAAATGTGAGTCACTAACTTAAGAGTTCTCCACTTTGATTAAATGACAGATGAGGAAAATCCGCAGATGAATCAAATTTTAGTTAGAAACCGTGCAGGTATCTCAGCTTTTGTTTGAACTCTCCAATGCTTTGATTAAAGTGGCGGGTCAGATCATTGTGTTACCTCCTAAAGACCCTCAATCGTGGGCACTTCTCTGGAGAATCGGGGAAGCTTGTGGAGAGTTCGAGCCTTTTGATACCCCTCACATTCCCTGCCAACGTCCAGGTAAAAATTAAATCATAGAAAAATACGGAGCTGCATAGAACGCACAGTCGAGAAGGAGGGAGACAAATGAGTAGCATCACTCGTTAGAAAAGCGTATGAATGTTTTCCGGTTTATATTTGCCGATTACTTCTACTAAGTAATGGACCGTCATCTTTGTAGCAAAGCTTTTGAACGCAAAATCCCACTACCGGTCCTTCTCATCAAGCAGTCCCTCCCTCATGCCGCCACCCACCTCAACCATTTCAAGTCATACCGCTCTGCTTCTTCAAGCTCGCCTTCACAATGCTCCCAGTAGCCTTCATAACCTACCTGAATGACATTTGAACGACAACTCTGAGAAAACGCCATCTGTCACTCAACACATCACTGTCTACGTTTGAACCATACTTTTTGGGGCTTTTTGAGCTAGTCATTACACTCGAAAGAATGATGGATAGGAAGTCTCCAGCTTGTGTTAGAGCTTGGCGCAGCGCTTTCTGACAATCATCACTCGCTAAATCACCAGTTACATATGGGAAGGTATAATACATACATACATATGGCAAGGTATGGAATTGGATACTTTTATGGGATGCGACAGCGAAAAACTCAACTGGAATACTTCCGTCATTGAAATGATAACTTGACTGGAATACTTGTAGCGCTGAAGAGTTTCCTTCAACATTCCTTTTTTCGATCGAGACATGAAGATAGGAAAGCGGTACTCGAAGAAATCCAATATTAATTCCACGACCATCTTTTATAAGGTCAAAGTTTATTACATCTTGAGCCATTTCCTTTGGAAATAACCACCGGAGCAGGGTTTATGGTCCTATTAATATACTATCGGCAGCGAAATCCACTTGGATGAAGGAGGATACGGAGATGAAGCTCCGCATCAGTCCAGAACATCAATGTGAAATACACTTCAGGGCCTAGGAAACTAAGATATTGCCATCAGAACAGTTCTGTTGGTTGGTCGTATTCCGATTTTAAGTAATACGCCCATCGACCAAGAGAATATAAAATCGAAATGTGGTCAACGGGCAGAGAACACAGTCTCCTTGATAAAAGAAAACTTCATGAACCTAAAATCTTCACTAGACAGAGGTAGGCAAATGAGGTCTATGGAAACGAAAGTCTTTGAAGAATAGGAATTCAGGGAGATGTTCCAAATAAGCAAATAGTGGTGAAACGGAGTAGAACAAAGAAGCAATCCGAAAACTAGAGCCAAGAGTCCAAGCGGTCGATCGGTGTGCTCGTATTTGACATTGCCAGACATTCACGTGGAGGCTATGCGAGAAGGGCGGGACCCCCGCCACATCGTGAATAGAGGAAGGCGATTAGACACGGTATACCGATGCGACAAATAGCTACTTGAACCAATTGCTACCAGAACCGGAAAGTCTCCGATCTGTGGACACCTAGGAGTAACGTTGAGTTTGCTAGGAGTGAAGGGGTCTTGAGTTTCCCTTGGACATCAACCTTCTGTCTCAGGTATTCAGGGATGAAAGTCTTGAGTTTCCCTTGGACATCAACCTTCTGTCTCAGGTATTCAGGGATGAAAATCCCAGCATTTTCACGAGCCTGGCCATAAAGATCGAGCAAATGTTCCCAAAATCTTTAGCGGGCTTTACCAATTCCTCAAAATATAAGGTGGACGTCGTCAGCGATTCTCCTCTCGTTAAACTATGGAAGTTCCAATCCTCTGCCGAGCAATTCTACCCGACAATTTCGGCCACATCTTATAGTTCACGGACAATCGAGCACAACCTGAGGGACGGAGGGTAACTTGGCGAGAAAATGAAAGGGTGTTGAGGGCCACAAGAAACATTCGTTCTTGCTTGAGGTTCATCCCTCAGGCTATGGGTTCTCACCTGATGCATCGTACCTTCTTGAAAGTAAGTCAGATTGGTAAACAGGATGGGAATCTAACGGATGTTACTGAGGAGGACAATAGTGAGAATGCGGCGATTCATGCAAGCGAGAAGAAGAAGCCGGAGATCGACCTGCTACGACGACCGAAAGCAGATGAAGCATTCATGTGAAACGAACAAGATTCAAGATGGGCGACCGTGCGAATCGTATTACTGGACGACATCCGCACAGCCAACTTCGACCCTTCCAAACCTTATAAAGCAGTTTTATTGTCAATAGTAAGTTGATGAATGTTTTGCGTTGTAGTAGAAGACACAACGAGCGAAATAAAGGTACTCATGTCATCTGAGTAAAGGCATTGAAATGGGTGGGAACTGGAGAACCTGCTAATCTACATTACAAGGATGACAGTTGAGCTGAGCTCGAAAAAAAAGACAGAGGCTTCAAAAAAGCTGTTGTATGAAAAAATCATGAGAGCTGTAATACTTATTCAAGCAGTTATTGGGCATATAACCCAGGGCCCTCTTAGCACACCTACAGATGCAGGTTGGCATAATGCAGAAAATCAAAATTTAGGCTCAGGTTTTAGATAAAATATGTATATTCAAACTTGCATCAAGCAATTTACGCTCATACAAAACAGCCTTCTTTTGAAAATGATTTTGCCTGTCTTAAAGGCACAGCCCCCCGATAATTTTGAGGTTCTCCTTTTTAATCGGAAAGCACAAATATAGGCTAGGGATAGTTAGTTCATTGTTAGCGAAGAAAGCGAGAGAATTCGCCGATTTTGCGGAAAATACGGTCTGTAGGGGATATAGAGGTTGGACGAGTTTACCATGACGGAAATAACATGGAATGAGTATTCGGACGAGATTTCAGTCGTTGCCATTGCGCACAGTGCTGACTACATCAAGCTAGAACTGTACACAGCTGCCTTTCTCTGTCGCTATGGGTCATGACAGAATGTTTGAACTTCCTACATGGGTTGCCTCGTAATCGGTGCAGCCTCTACAATGCCAGTGAGACTCGTCATAGGATACACACGGGCCAATCTTTGAGCCTTTATAACACCCTAATAAGGCCATTTTCCGATCTAATAGCGCCAAATATGGAATACGAGGGGCCGCAAATTCATCCTATGACGAGCTCTCAGAAACCATTTTTTCGTGAACTGTGCCTTTAAAGGTGAAGGAATGAGGCATGGTTTTGATTGTTTCCTACTGAGAGGAATAGCTAGCTAAAGGAGTGACATGTAGATTTATTGGATTAGAGTATTCTTGCCCTTCTTCAAAATTCTTAAGCCTAATCGAACCGCTTATAATAAGTATCAGTGCTTTTTCCTAACCGCTAATCACAGATTATTTCATAGCCAGTTGAAGGCACAGTTCACGTTTGAAAGGTCCCTGAAATTAATCCTTCAAATGAACCTGTGACCCCCAAGGATCCAAGGGCGCCTAAGTGACGTTGTCAGGTCGAAAATCGGCCAAGATAGGGCGTAATAAGGAGCCTAGAACTAACTTAGCCGACGTATACATCTAGGGCAGACAAGTGTTAAGCGTTATAAAAGCTGTAGAGGTTACAACATTCGTACCGGGGCCTACGCTTTGTACCCACGCAGCCTACTGCAGCCAGCTGTATGCAATGGCGCGCCATTTCCAGAGCTTGTCCAAATACCACTTCCATACTTTTTCTGTCACCATATTCTCGTCCAACCCCTTAATTTACTTGTTTTCAAAGCCTTACATTTCTCTGAATACGCCGGTTTCCGCGTTTTCTTCTCCACTTTTGCACTATTCTGGACCATCACTATCATTAGTCGTCCCAAACCAGATACCCCAAAACTATCGTGAACTTGCCTTTAAACATTCAAAGCAGTGTCACGAAGAACAACCAACTTCTGAAGCGAAGATTTTGGCAGAAGTAAATTCGTCAAACTTTCCTGAAAAATTCCACTCCCAACAAATATAAAACAGGCGGAAACGAGCTTCCAATATTTACAAACGTATTTCTGATATTTTATAATTTTATTTTTCTTTCTGGTTGTATAGGCAATCAGACAGACCCTTGAGCTCGTGGGTTCATTCCGCTCTCCAACCCAACTATTCAGATTGTACAGAGAGAGCTCTCTTTATTCAAGGTATGTATGTAGATTTACAGTGCATGGTGGTACGACATGTGCCAGTGCTTTCATTCATGGACTCATGCAAACCATTGCATCTACCTACCACCTCATACATTCGATAACTCGGAATGGGTTGTCAGTGGCAGGATATGATCATTACATCATTATTAGGCATTTTGTGTAATGGCACTATTGCATTTATTATAGTCATCGAATTGCATCCAAAGGGGTGTTAATGTGAGCGTATATTCTGTTTGCATTGACACTATTGTGACATTTTGTCGCCACGCACTCCCATATTTACCCTCGATCCTCATAATGGAGTGAGATTAGTCTGGCATTCATAGAAGGAACACCGGAAGACAGTGCGCCAAATGAGAGCCGCATGCGAACCCCCATTAGGTTGATCAACTAAGGAGAGAGAATGGAGGGGGTGAGCTACAAAGCCTCAAGAGCACATTGGCTCGTTACTCAATCAAAATACAAATACCCAGGGTTCACCCAGCATCTGTAGCTCCTTTCTTTGGTATACCACGGCGGATCTGCTAAAAAATTTCACTCTACTGTAATAAATTGACCTTCATCTTCGAAATATCAATTTTGGATGGTTTTTCTTCATAAAACGAGAGGGGTCTTCAATTATTCAGTTTCTATTCAACAATTTCGGACCACTTCACCCAAACTGGACTGAGATGACCCCAGAAGG